TTCATCTCTGGGCTCAAAGACATCGGCTGGATATGACGGTGATTGAAGTTTGCAATCTGACGCAAACAGTGCAGTCACTAAAACGCTAAACCCAATGAAGTTGCCCACAGAGTGGAGATGGCAAAAGGCTTTACTTGCTAAGGATGGTAATGGCAGACGCCTTTTTAATTTTTTCTCTTAGGCAGGTCTTTTACATTGAAAGGTTTCAAATACCGAAAAGGTATTCTTTAATAGTGCTAATGCAGTGTTCAAAGCAAAAATCCAGACAAAGGCGGTATACCTTTTGTACAATACAGATATAAAATGCCAGTTTTAAATCTATAACGAAAGACTAATAAAAAAACTGACCCAAACCCATTATAGATTCCCTTTGAAGAAGAACTACGGCCAAAACTTGTATTAACCCTTGCAGTGGGGCTACCCCCATACTGCAAGGGTTAACTACTCGTTTCTGTCTAGGTGCTGAAAAAAACAAAAGTTATACTCGCCCGATCCACGGAGCCGGCTTGCCCTTCCAGCCTCTCTCCCCCTCCACTGCAGAGGCCTAAGGTCCTGTAAATCATCACATTCTACACACTGTGTATAGACATGAGGACACTTAGGAACACTCCTTCTGCAGTGTAGGAGGAGAGAGGCTTCAGAGACCAGAAAACCAGGTAGCCGGCTCAGTGGTAGAGGTAAGTATAACTTTTTTTTGGCACCTAGACAAAAATGAGCAGTTAGCCCCACTGCATGGGTTAATAAACATTTTGCCCGGAGCTCTTCTTTAAATAACAATACCTGGCTCTCTGCCAACCCCCCTTTACATTTGGTAGCCTTTCTTCCTTTTTCATATTAATACCTACTAAGGATGCACCGATAACGGTTTTCCGGTATCGAGTACCGATATTTTTTTTTCCGGTACTCGCTGATACTGAAAGTCTCATTAAGGAAGCTGGGCTGCTTGTAATGACTCCCTGCCAAGGCTTTCCGAATAGCCAAGGAAGCCGTCTCCATGTTCCCTTGTCACCAGGTAATGAGGTAGCATGGAGCAGGCTTTCTGGCCAATCAGGAAGCTGGGGGGCGGACAATCACTTGCCGCCCGGCTTCAAGATTGGCCAGCTTCCAGAAGAATCAGGAAGCTGGGCGAGTCATTACATGCCACCTGGCTCCCTGATTGGCTGGGAAGCCGGCTCCATGCTCCCTCATCACGAAGTGATGAGGGAGCATGGAGCCGGCTTCTCGGCCAATCAGGAAGCCGGGGGTGGGTAATGACTCCACCCCACTGGCTTTCTGATTGGCCAGGGAGCCAGCGAGGGAGCATGGTGACGAGGGAGCATGGAGCCAGCTTCCCGGACAGTCAGGAAGCTGGGCAGTGTGTAATGACTTGCTTCCCGGCTTCCTGATACCAGAAGTTCCGGTATCGGGATAGGCATCGGGAGCATTTGGGCAAGTACGAGTACTAGTATCGGTATATCCCTGATACTTACCCTTTCCAAAGTCTTCAGGCTAGTCAAGTGATGCTGCACGGTTCTTTTTGCCTCTTTTTCAGGCTACGTGGTCAATCCTGGTACAGAAAGCACAACTGACACGATAACCTCAGTGCCTCATTCTGGACCAATACAATGTTAAGAATATCATGGTGACGCTCCCTCCAGGGCGGGACAATGACACCCTTCATTCACAGTAGTCTTCAAGGCAAACAATGCTGGGAGTCATTCAACACAGAAAACTGAGAACATTTTGTAGCAAAGAAGAGGTGCTGCAGCTTCAGACAGCTTCCGGCTGAAGGTGAGCATTGCCATGTGCATTAGAGCGCATTAAATAAAAACAGAATTGCAGAGATTGGGATCTTACGTTTTTCTGTCTGTTCACCTTCAGAAAGAGCTCAAGTTATCCAAAGACTTCATGGCAAGTACATCTTTAATAGCTCTAAGATGGTATTGATAATGAATTTTAAACTAAAACAGGGAACAGAATTAAAAACATGCATTCATCTATAGCCTGCATTGCCTGTGGCCTGTGAATATTCATTATGAGCCTTGAACACAAGCCAAACCTTGATATAAAATTCCGATTGCAGTATACCTTTATAAACAACCATTGGGAATGAAATGCTGGAAGGTATCGGGTTAAGACGGTGAGTTTCCCTAAAGCTTCTAAAGACTCAATCATTACGTGAAACAAAACTAAGAGTTCTGTTCCTTGGGCAATTAACTTCGGGAACAGACTGTGTCTATTTTTATTTCGAGCTCTGCAAACTCTGCATACAATATTACTTTTATTAATATATCGGGTTATTGGATTTTCCTTCTCACTGACTTCAGTGAAAGCTTTTTGATTCTTTTACATGCAGTTCTCTGCCTGAAGCCAACTGCCAATAAAAATCTAGAAGCCTTAATAGCTTCACTCAGTACACCCACCTTCCCCCTCCAACCCAACATTAGAATCATGGAACAATGGATTTTGGATACAATGGAGTATTTTGTTAAAAGATCAAAAAGTTTGTACTTTACTTGTAGGACGTACCCAGTACCCTACACATATTTAAACAATAACAAGCCATGTATAACAAGATTTAAGTTTCCATGTCATCAATTACTATGATGCTGACAATACACCGCCCAGCATGCTCAATGTAACTTGAATGGTCTGGTTAAGTGGTCTCTTACACTTTACATTTTAGCTAGCTTTTTCTGATCGGACAACCCTAAAACTAAATCTGATGATGTCAGCCCAGCTCTACTGTAATTTCCTTATAGTAAACATGTCAATGGGTGTTTTTTGGTGGAATGTGGCCCTCTTACTCTATCTTACAGCCCTTGATCAATGAGAATATCTCTAGGCAAACCTTTTTCCTAATGTACAAAAACACAGCGCTTGTGTTGTGTACAGAAATTGTGCAAAATGAATCAAGATATTATGATCTTCCGCAGAATCCATGGGAGGCCTTGTAGAACAGAAAACCAAGGACACTGCAAAAAACCAAGGTCAAGTTGGCCGCTTTTGTATTACAAGCCACCCGTCAGACATTAGCCAGACCTTGGAAACAACCCACTGTTAGCTTTAATGAAGTAAAGCAACGACTCATGGATACAATGATTCACGACCAATAATGAACAATTAACAGCGATCTGTAATTATTCGTTCACTAAGTTCCTCAAGGATTGGTCAGTTTGGCTGAACTATTTGCATCTCTCAGGATCTTTTGCGAATATAACTCTCCTTTGCTCTGGGGGTGGCCCCATGGGTGGACTGCACTTTTTCCCTCTTTCATCTTTTTTTTTTTTTTTGCATTTCTGCTTCCCCTCTTTGTTACCTTCTCCCCGTTTATTGTTTATCTTAGGTGTTTTATTCCTTCCTTCATACAGATTGCCTTCTTGGTGCGTTTCTTCCACCTTTCCAGGGTCTGAGGCTTGTGCCCACAGCACTCGAGTGCAAGAGGAGGTGGGTTTCTGCTCCGGTGGAAACAGATCCCATCTGAAGATTCTGTGATTTTTGTGACGATGCATAGACTATTTCTTTGATTACATTTTTGTAAACAATCAGATCTGTAAAGTGTCTTATATGATTTTTCTATACATTTTGTGTCTTGGAGAAAACTTAATGAGACATACTGTTATGCTTTCTCATTTCTATGGTTTGTACTGGTTTCCCCTATTTAAAACTAATAAAACATTTGTAAAGAAACATATTATGCTCTATGTACTATTGTTATTGGGTGCAAATATAACCATAAAGTGCCTCATAGTATTATTGCAAACTACTCCAGTGATCACAATTGTCCATTACAACCCACAGTAATATGAATAAATAGTTAAATAAATAGGTGTCCACTAGGGATGCAACTATACCAATTCTAGTATCGGTATGGGTGCCGATAACAAGTATTTTGGCGAGTACCCGTACTTGCCCAAATGCTCTGATACTTACCCGCGATACAGAAAACGTCTGGTCCGATGGAGATTTCCTCTGACCAGCAGTGCAGCAAGGGAACATGGTGCCAGCTTCCCGGCCAATCAGGAACTCGGGCGGCTGGTAATGACTTGCCGCTCAGCCTCCTGATTGGCCAGAAAGCCGGCTCCATGCTGTTTGGCCGGCTTGATGCTGATTGGCCCAGAAGCCAGCTTCCCGGCCAATTAGCATGGAGCCGGCTTTCCGTCCAATCAGCATGCTGGCCAAATCCATCAGAAAATCGAAGGATGGAACATTTTCAGCCAAACAGTGATGGCAGCCAATCAACTGCTGTCACTATTTGGGTACTCTGACAGCGGCGGGAGATTTGCCTATTGCTTTAGATCTATATTAAATTACATAGTCATAAACTCTGGTGAGCCTACTGCAAGAAGCGGGTGCACTGTAGTAGATGTTGGACTGTGATTTTCTTCTTCTCACTATTCTCACTATTAAAAGGATATAGTGGACACTTATTTATTAAATATTTATTCATATTATTGTTGTTTGTAATGGACTATTGTGGTTTACTAGAGCACTGGTTATATGCAAAAATAGTATTAATGATCAGGAACCCCACTGATGGGTTCCCAATTGATAGCAGAGACATGGTGATCACATGGCTTTGCTAATAAACAGTTGTTAGTGACAGGTGTCAGAGTATTTCAGAGTATTAATCTGGTTCAAAGGAAGCCTGTAATGATACCAATATGGGAGCTGCCATTGCAGACTTCTTTCAAAGCAGCAGGGCTGCCATCCTTATAGAGGCATCTTTAGCGTGTCACTGACCCCAAACTTATGCATGAGGTTGGAGTTATGACTTCTCACTGGCTGTATGCTTTTATTCATACCAGTAATTTAGGGAAACCAGGAGCAAGATCACCGTCCGGGAGCCTGCAACTTCAAAAACGTCAGCAGTGGCAGCCCACGTTTGTATATTCACCAACTCCCTGTAACATAACATTGCAAAGTGGTACGTCCAGCACATTTTATCAGTATTGACATCAACTGGGATTTCCCTTCAAACATGAAAATGATTTTATACAAAGTGTGGGTCATAAACCTACTTCTTCTCTGCCTCTCCAGGGGAGAGTGAAGTGGCCACGGAACTTCCCGGTTGCGAAACGTAGAAAAGCTGCTGTTCGTTTCTGGTCGGAGCAATCTTACACTCATGCTCGTGGCCCCAAATTATCAGGTCCAAAAACTCATCAAGGAATTGTTCAGGAATGTAATTGGTGGCGCCATGTTTACTCCTAAGAAACAGAGAACAAAGAGGCTTAAACTGTCACTGGAGACATGGTTTACTGCTTTGGATAATTTCCTCATATAAACTTCTAGTAGCAGAACCCTGTTAAGCATCTCTTTGTGTAGAAACATGTTAAAGCCCACCCAGCACCACCAACATCTCCCATTCTTCCCCCAGACTAGCATAGTCTTTCTCTGGACATTGGGCAGATAATGATGATGTAACCCCTGTTTATGTGCCCTGGATTTACATTGTCCGAGGACTGCGCATCCATTTTTTGGCATCTTACAGATTACAGGGATGGGCCAAGAGTGTACACTATACTGTACATTCAAGC